CCAGAATGCTTTGTGTGTAAAAAAAATGGCTCCGTCCGTGTTAAAATATATTTTTAAAAATGACAAAAACTGAACAGCCTACAGCATTTTTAGTCTTTATTTTACAGTTAAAATAAATGTTTATCAAATAAAGTCTAATGTTACAACTAATCAGGGATCCCTTTAATACTCGCCAAACAGGTTCTTCTTGCTATTTTCTGCATCCCTGAGATGCTCTCCTGCACCTTCAGCATGCTCGTTAGTGTGGATGTTGTTTGGTCATGGAGGCCTTTGTATGTAATAAGTAGAAACTCGATATTTGCTTGTGTTGCCAAGCAAAGAGAAATGTAATCTACCATTGAAATTCTCCCAGCAGGACTTTGGATCAGCTGGATGATATTGCATYAATCCAGACCACAGTGTCAAACTCACACACTGGTTTCCTGCCACACTTTATAACAAGATGCTCCTCGCTTGGGCTCAATGATAATTAAAACAGGGAGTCATCAGCATAACTTTGAAAACCCGGCTTGTTTGTTTTTTGATTTATAGCTGCCTTTAGCTGACAGTTAAAATAAAATGTACTTCAGTTTTATTTGTTTCACTGAAATGCAGCTGGAGCACAATACTCTGAGACTTTCTTTAGAGAGAACAGAACGTTTGCTGAAAGCATTGCAAAACGATCGACTGCTTCAGTCTTCTGAAGTAGTTGAGCTCAGCGTGTTAACCTTCTGTGACAAACACCTGAAAACATGAATGCTTATAGAGCAGTTTGAAGCCGAAGGGAAGAGAAACCATTAACTTTCAGTCAAGCAGAACTAAAGACACCATCAATCAGCTTCTAATGGACATAATCACATTTATAATCTAATCTATTAAATGACTTTGACCTCATTAAATACGCACTGTTACATATTAAACTTTTAGTCACAAGTTTCCATAAATGAACAAATGTGTTTCTGACGTTTCACCTCAAGTTACCTTAATGATGTTTTTGGCGGCTTCTCCAAAAAAGTCAGGTACTGGCCCAAAGGAAGTCAGGAGCCGGGTTATACCCTCGCCATAACGCTTCATGTAGTCTTCCAAACCTGTGAGGACATGGTGGACCGCATTTTATTAGTAAAACAAGAAGGTAATGAAGAAGCAATGGTAGCATAAAAAACACCACTGAATATTCAAGTTTGATGAAGTGTGTTCTCCACCATTTGAGAGTGAAAAACATAAAAGCACAGTTTTTTTTTTATTTTAAAGCCCTGATCAGTGTCTTCAACAACACAACACAGGAAACCTATTGGTTGGTTAAAACACTGAGGTAAATCATTGGAATTATCCTCTGGGAGATCAGAACTATCTATACAATCTGCTGGTTGAGATGAGTGAACAACACGCTGCAGAACAGATAGCATCCTGCACAACATATTTATTCCATCTGTTACCCTCCAACAGAAAGTACCGGTTCATAGGTGCCAGGACCACCCGAATGGCTCACAGTCTGTACCCACAGGCTGTGAGAATGTTAAACACCCTTTCTCTGTGACCCCACCCATTATCTTTACATTTCAAATCTCATCTGCCCTTTTTCCACTAGTGCCACTTAGTGTAGTGTCGGAATGGTCGGTGTAGGTACGGGTTGGACCGGTTGGTTTTCCAATGATGTTCCAGTCTGGTTCCAATGGGTGTGTTTTGGGCGGTTGGTGGAGGTGGTTTTTAGGTATTTTGAATAAAAATTAATGGGCAAAATGAGAGATGGAAACACATTTGATGAATAACTTTTGAAATTTTAAACATTTGCAAAAATTAAGCCAATCAGTGACGAACAGTGTTCTGATGTCGCATTTTGGTGCCAGCTGGGGCCGGTTGGAACCACAATGAAGTAGGTACTAAAAAAAGGGCTGGTTCCATGAAGCTGGCCTAATGGAAATGGCTTGGAACCGTACCAAACCGTATCGACACTACACTAAGTGACACTAGTGGAAAAGGGGCATAACTGAACTGGATGTTGCAGCAATCCATTATTATCCCTTCAACATCTGTTTACAGCTCTCCCTTCATCTGTCCTGCTCTTAGATGGTATTATTATCTGTGTTTACACTGATCATCAGAACCTTACAAAGTTTACTTTCACACTACTATGTGTAATCAGTTACTTTTTAGGTGTATGATACTCCATCAGGATTTCGCTGCTTTCCATGGTAATGACAATAAAGTAAAGAAAAGCATAGGCAACATGGAAATGACATCGCCACATTGGAGCATGCTGGYGCCATATCATGGATTTGCTGTTACCACCCCACTCCCCTGGACTATTAAATGCTGTTGTTCCTGTAATAAAGCACCAAAACCTCACTACAGATATGTTGTGAATGCTCTAAACCGTTGGGGACATACAAAACTCTATTGCTCATAACGGTGAACCACTGTGTTTCTAGCATGTGCCTGAAGACCTCATCATGACTGCAAAGACCATCGGTGTTCTGGCTGATATTTTATGTCGCAGTATGGTGGTTATCCAGAGTAGAGGGGATTTTAATTGATCGATTGATTGATTTAGATTTATTGTCAATTCKTTCATGTTTCCAACAYACAAGCAATCGAAATTACGTTTCCTACTGTCCCACTATTAAACAATCATAAAAAAATGGCATAATCATTGAGATAACTGCATCTCAAACAAAAAAACGAGACAAAACTAGACATCAGTCAATAAAGATRTGGATTTAAGTTATCTTTTAGCTAACTGTTTTAGTAAATGTACAGCATAGCATATTAGTGCAAATAGTGCAAATGCATATGGGAGGATGGCGAAATGGGGAGTTATAGTCTTGGCAGTCTGGTGACTGGAGATAGAGTAGGAAGAGAGTTTAACATCCTAACAGCTTGGTGGATAAAGCTGTTGGTGAGTCTGGTAGTGTGTGAGCGGAGGCTCCTGTACCTTTGTCCTGATGGCAGGAGATTGAACAGATTATAAGCAGGATGGGTTGCATTGCTCACAATCATCGTTGCTTTTTTTGATGAGGCGGGAGGTGTATATGTCTTTCTGGGAGGGGAGCGGGGCACCAAAGATTCTTTTGGCTGTGTTCACTATGCGCTGCAGAGTTCTCCTGTTGTAATCAGTGSAGCTCCCGCCCCACATACTGACGCAACCAGAAATGATGCTTTCTGTAGAAGGTGAATGGTAAATGGACTGTACTTATATAGWGCCTTTCTATCCACCCAGGACATTCAAAGCGCTTCACACTACAGACATTCACCCATGCACACACACATTCACACACTGATGATGGCAAACTACAATTGTRGCCACATCTGCCCTGGGGCACACTGACAGAGGCGAGGCTGCCATACACAGGCGCCACCGGACCTCTGACCCACCATCAGTAGGCAAGGCGGGTGAAGTGTCTTGGACACAATGACTGAGTCGACTGGACGGGGATCGAACCGACGACCTTCCGGTTCTAGGACGACTCCCCTAACCACTCTACCACAGCCGCCCCAGGTGCTCATGTTTGATGGTGGAACACCATCTGCACAGGAAGTAGAGGCACCGCAGAGCTTAGAGATGCGGTGTTGGTAGACCAGGTAAGGTCCTCACTAATGTGCACCCCGAGGAATTGATGCCGGCCACTCTCTCCACCTCAGTACCATYGATGATCAGTGGCAAATGTTGGTTGTGACTTCTCTGGAAGTTAACAATAATTTCCTTGGTTTTGTTTACATTGAGAAGTAGATTGTTGTTTCTGCACCAAGTGGTCAGCAGGTCGACCTCTGCCCTGTAATCAGTCTCATCTCCCTTGGTGATGAGCCCCACCAGAGTTGTATTGTCTGCATATTTGACAATGTAATTTGTGCTGTAAGTTGTTTTGCAGTCGTGAGCAAGGTGAAAAGCAGCGGACTGAGCACCTGGCCTTGAGGGGCACCTGTGCTCAGTTGATGCTGCTTGAGATGTTGTTGCCAACACGTACTAYCTGAAGTCTCTTGATTGAGAAACAGGACAGATAACACAAAAAGGGGAGGTAAGATGGAGAGGGTTCAGAGGAGTAGGTGACATTGAGTGTGGGGGGTGGGGTCTGTGTTAGGACCCAACCCTAGTCCCCTCGCGAGTCCAGAGTCACATGATGTTATCGTTTCTACTCAGTTCGCTAGAGTTCAGAGTTTCCTCCTCCACAGCCATTGGGTTCCGGGGCTGGATCCAACACGGGTGATGGGGGTGGGTGCGAATCAATCCTTTGTTGACATTCCACCCTGGGGAGATTGAAATAAACGCTGCCATCAAGGCCGTGCCACTGGGAGCCAAGTAGATAATCCAATTGTTTTGGAACAAAGCAGCCTTGAATTTCCTGCTGCTTTCAAAATGTCTTAACTGCAACTATGAAGTGGCAAAAAAATAAATAAACAATCAGCCGAATTTGGGGTCTTTCTCACCTCTCACTGTCTTAAGAGTCAACCAGATGTAATCCTTACATGCTGGAGGCTCGCTCCTGAGATGTGATCCTCGTCAGAATCACATCCAGTGTGCAAATTATTTCCCCCAGCTGAGAGTCTGTGTGCTACCAGCCCAGCAGAATCCTTCAAGTGCGCCCAACAGCTCCTCAAAGGCCCGAACCACTGTCAGGGTTGCTTTCACTTTCTGATAAATCTGGAACCCTCCTCTGCCAGTCAGCAGGAATCCAGTTAAAATAAATCCATACATATACATATATATAAATCTTTCACG